TCTACCTATTTTTTTCAAGATGACGATTCCTGAAATGAATTCATATTTTCTACTTTACTCATTCTTAAGTTCCAACTCATCGAGATATTTGATCAATCAAATTGATCTCACCCATTAATGAATAAAAAATCATTATAAATGTGAAAAGAACTCTGTCAAGAAATTTAGATGAAATACACAATGGTTAAGTGGAATTTAATTCTCTGCACGATCATGCTATAAAATTAAATTTGACACGTGATCCGTTCAATACACTCCAAGTGTACTAGTGTCATCTTCAACTATTTCTGAGATAAAAACAAATCACAAACCTGAATAGTAAATCAGCAAACACTACAAACCTTTTGATACAATGTGTCAACACTTAAACATTTGTTGTGAACAAATTATTTATAATTAAAATATAAATTGTATCACACTATACTTCTTAACGCAAGTATCCAACTTATATTATCATAAGTGATCATAGACACTTTAATTTACATGCTCAATAATAAATAAATGCAATAAATAAATAAAATCACAATTTATTTAGTATAAATTACTGTTTTATCATCCAAAATATATTATATGAACACACACCCCAACATAGCCTACTGGTCGCTGGTCACGTTCCGGCTTCTATAATAAAGCAAGCACCTGTACCATATTTATGTCCTCGTTCTCATGAATTGGAAATTCAAATATCTGTAAATTTCATATTTAAATCTTAAGATTAATATTTAAGTGAGTAGGTTAGATTATGAACATACTAACAAGGGAAGATTTAGTCTTTGTTTGGTATGATCCAGATTTTAATCCATTCAAAATTAATAATTAATTTTAATCATATATTTTATAGGAATCACAACTTTTCAATCACACATTTCATCAACTTTTATTAAAATCTACTAAAAATATAATTTTAATCCTGTCAAACAAGGTTTAATTTGACATACAAACTATGCTTTGTCGTATTGTATTAATTACTTAAACATTATCTTTAGGTTAGGCGAAGAATTTAATGCAATTCAGCGAATGAAGACTAAAGCGTTGTCTAAAGATTATGGGTATATTGGACCCTCATCAACACATTCATCATTCATTCAATAACGTAATCTTATTAGATTCCATACAGCCAGCCGGTGGCTCATAAGATTAAGGGTATTACCATGTGTACACTATGGAGGGTTCCACAAATAATTTATTAGGACCTTACTATATGTATATCAAATTTTACATAATGGGTTACATAATGCTACATTTCACTCTATCATTTGCAGTCTTAAAAACAATCAACTTTTTCATTCAATCCTTTTTTTTTTTTTTATAACTCAGGTGTCCAAACTTCGCATACCTAATCTTGAGGAGTGGCGACCTTCCACCTGGTTTGCCACCCAAGTAAATTCGGATGCGAACACAGTTTATACACACTTGAGCCAGATATTCAAGATGCGGTTCTTCTCCCTATAGATCTCCCTTTACGACGTACGGACAGGACCCGCAGAGGGACGACAAAGTGCACCATAACTTTGTCTCCACATGGCAACTGCTTTCCAACATAAATGTTGCCTTCCAGCTGCCGCGGGGATTCAAACCTCCGATGCTCCGTGTGGAACTCTCCTACTTTACCACTGCGTCATGCCCGTGGGGGCTTTTCATTCAATATTTTTCCTCCACGCCATTTTATGTAATCCATTATTTATTATTTTATGTACAAGTAACATAATTCACTTGATTATGCGTGGGTCCCATCCACGTGAGAGGGTGTGATCTATTATGTATATCGAAAGTGTGCAAATAGATTAATCCTAAAATTAATTAATATTATGATTCAAAAATCTTTGTGTGATTGATCCGACTCCCATGTTACCGCTTCGTCTTTAATCCTATTGAAGGTGCATTTCATTTTCTAATAAGATCATAGGAGAAAGTTATTGTGGTCGGCAAAGGAAAAAGGTAGATCTTTTTTCATATTAATAGTAAGCGGGTAGTATGAGATCTATGCCGGGCGTCGAAATCAAATGAGACCAATGTTTTCTTGTAGTTTTTTCATGTCAGGGATCTTGTTTGGTAGGTTGTTCAGCAGCATAGGTGTTGACTCAAAAGAGAAAATAAAAGACCGGACTAAAGAAATGCCACTTTCGACTATTGAACTTGAATTTAGTTCGAGATCAAAATTGGACCTGATAGAGATTAGACTTCTCGTAATAATAGGTGCGCTTTCGGTTGAGAGCTGTTAGCGGGTCTTGTCTCCTTGGATTTCAGTTTATTCCTTTTCTTATAAAGCTTTGATATACACGCTGAGCAATGATGGCACCTTCTTCTTATACGAATTACTTATTAATTAATTCTTAATATATCTTGTACTTTAGTCGAGAATATGTTAGATACGAAGGTATACAGAAAAATTACTTAAGAAGTGCCTAATTAAATAGTTTTAGAATTATAAAATGTATTGAGAAAATACTATTAAAAAAGGGGAGAAATCCCCTTGAACAACCCCTGAACGTCCACGCGGTTGTTCAAGAAGTGACCTCCTTAAAAACGACTGAAAATGGATGAGAATTGATAGTGTATGTATTTACAAATTTAAGAAGGGATTGATCGATATATTCAAGGGTTATGCTACTTTTACATAAATGATTACATGAAATGATGTGAAGAGAAAAGATTGGTTGAAAAAGTTGACTGTGTTTTAAATTAACAAATGATAAAATGACATGTGACATTATATAACCCATTATGTAAAACTTGATATACATGTAGCAAAATCCTATATTCAAATATTGTCGTGGTGGTTGTTTGTTTGTCCCGACTCTACAATCATCATCGTGCAGTTCATTCAATTTAGCAAAGAAAACGGACCGAGGCCAGGATAATGTACAAGTTTTCTGCGATTTCGTTCGGTGGTCAATTAGAGAAGATCAAAGAGAGAGATTCTTGATAGAATTTCTGCATCTTTGAATCAAGCTGGGGAGGTAGGTACAACAAATGATGCAGTGTTTTCTGTATGGGACATCTCAAATAAATAAATACATGTACATGCATGGATATTATCTTGTCTAATTTGGAAATGCAAAATAGCATTTGGATAACATTTCCTTTTTTTAAGGAGATAATGATACTCTTGTTTTGTATAAAATAAAAAGAATAAATAAACAAAAAGACGATCGTAGATATGAATACATCTTTCTCCATTTTTTCTTTGTTTTCACGATGTCATTATCGCCATTCACAAATTTATATTTAATCATATATTCTCTAAATAAAATAATTTTACGCGTAAATAAAAAAATAATTCTACTTTTAAAATATGCATTCTTTAAAAAAAATAACTATTACAAAACTTATTTTTTACAAAATAAAGAAAGGCTCAAACATAGTCTTATTAATCTAATTATCTCACAAAAGAAACAAAATAAGACTAAAAATGAAAATAATATATGAAAATTCAAATGCCCAAATGACCAGATCAAAAATGGTAAGATGTTGTCGGGTTGTTGGTTCCCAACCCTACCACTTCCTTGTCCCAAATAAAAGAATTTTAAGCAATTTCTACGTGTCTTTCTGCATGTTTTGCAGCGTATCTCTCCCTGACTTTGCCACGTTCGGCTTTTCTTCTACAGAAACTACCCTTCCTTTCCACGAAACTACAACCCTACCTTAGTCGCTTCTAAATTACTCTGCTAAATAATATGGAATCTGTTGAGATTTACTATCACATAACATTGTCGAGATGAAGTTCGGTTACAATAGGTGGATGTCGTAAATCAATTTGCCTAAACAGTGTAGTGTAATAAAGTAAATTAAACAAGTAATGATATCGAATATCAACGATGTTAGAACACCAATTTAAATAAAAATATGATAAGTTCAATTATTCATCCACCTAAATTTATATTTTAGCATCATTAGACTAGATGGCGTAATTTCAAACTAAACTAGCATCTCATGTGACTGGGTATATGGTCTCTCACACTCGATAAAATAGTCTAAACCCATACGGTCTTGCTTAGGTCTAATTATATATACGATCATACATCATCAACTAAAGTTGAAGACTCAGATGATTCTATGAAAAGCGATTTTTTCTCCCTCAAATATATGTAGTTGAGAATTAGTTTGAAGAAAGAATAATATTCAAAAAATCAATTCTAAACAAGGATTAAGAAACTTTATTCAAAATCAAGTACGAGACTCGATTGAATACAAGGATGTTGGGTTTTGCAGGCCCACCCTAGCGTTAACGATCAACCCACCAATCATATTACCTCGCATGAATCATTAACTCCGAATATTGCCCATATTCTCCCTCTCTACTTTCCACTAATATTGCCATACCACCATCTTTTTCCTTTTCATTCCTTTATTTGGCTTTAACCAATCTATTTTCGAATCACCACTTGTATTGATATTAGAATTAACAACTCCCAATTTATCGTAACTTCTTCGAATTTATGCGCTTCAAACTTGAGTTTGAAGATGGTCCAACCAAGATTATCACCGATGACAATCCAACTCATGAATCATCCGAAACTCAAAAGTGCTAATTTCAATTTAGTTTTTCTCACGAATTGCGTCGCTTTCAAGAATGAGAGACTAATATGTGTAAACATTACTAAAAAATTTTATTTTTATTCGGTAGTTCAAACTCGTATTATTGAGCATGAAAGAGGAAAAACGCGCATTATCCCACCCCACCTCAGTCCATCCCACAATTAGACAATTAGCCAATCTTTTCCTTTCACCTTCCTCCAACTTTTTCTCAGAATAGACAAAATACGTTTCAAAATGGTGCAATAATTTTCGCACGGATGAGAAATGGACGGACTTAGTCCCCGTTTTCGTAATTTCGTAGAGAAAGTGGGTCACAATAGTACAAGTACTCTTCTCATACAAGCTGTCACCTGCAATTTACAGGTTGGCAACCCTGCCCACTGATCGAAAAACACAAAACTACTTTTCATTTATTTATTACTCTCTTACTCTTACGTGGCATCCTGGTTCACTTTCCCATATCCCCCGGGGGGCCTCTCTATTTATATGTAAAACTTTAACCTTCTTCTCAAGGTTCAGCATAAGAAAGGGTATTCAGTTTTTCCCATTGCGGAGAAGAGAAGAAGAGAAAAAAACTTTATATAAATATGGGTATATGCAGTTCTTGCGAGTCATCGTCATCTGCGGTGACGGCCAAGTTGATATTTGATGATGGGAGATTACAGGAATTTTCATATCCGATAAAGGTTTCATATGTTTTGCAAAAGAACCCTACATGTTTCATTTGTAATTCCGACGAAATGGATTTTGATGTTGCCGTGTCGGCTGTAAATCATGACGAGATGCTTCAGCCGGGTCAGCTGTATTTTGCACTGCCGTTGAGCCGGTTGAAGCGTCGGCTGAAGGCGGAGGAAATGGCCGCACTGGCCGTAAAAGCCTCCTCCGCATTGACCAAGAGTGGTGATAAATGCCGGTGCCGCCGGAAAATATTGGTGTTTTCCGGTGATAATGATCTGAAGACGGCCCACGTTGGAAATGCCGGGATCAGAACTGGGAAGCTGACGACAATACCTGAGTAGGGTTGTTTTGAGAAATTCATTTTGTACATAATAGTCTAGTTTAATGACAGACGAGTTAAGGTTCATTAGCAGATCAGCTATGTAACCAAATTCTGCAAATGGCTGATTTAAAGAGGCAGTACCTTTTCTCTTAATTACTGCTGCTTTAATTTCCTTTTCCTCTCGAAAAACATTGTTATGCCTCAAAAATGTCCTCATAACTAATTAATTGAGTTGAAAATCAATATCAGTAGAAAATTATTTTTGTTATCTATCAACTCTTTCAATTGCAAAAAGGTCAGTTTTTGGAATTTTACTTGTATGATAAGAGGATAAGATGGACGAACGTAGAGACAGTTTTTTCATTCGGTGTGGTATCTGTGTGTGTATATATATATCTCATGTCAACTGCTTGTGAAGCACGCCACTGCAAACATTGGTTAACTAAAATTAAGAGTAATGTTAGGTTCTAAATCCAATAATCAGTCACATCATTCTCCAAAAATATCTTAAAATTCCTTAGAAAATTAATAATTCAACGTTTCATACATCTATTTTGATGGTATGAAGGGATTTTTACCTAATAAATGAAATGGGATAGTCCCAGGCTTGTGCCGTTCCCTCTGGCATCCTTGCAAACTAGTGTTCAATTATGCAAATGACGATCTTTTTGGTCTTGTTGGAGTCATTGACTTAATAATTGTAAGGTCGACGTCGTACTTATGTTTGTATAAAAAAAATCAGGTCATGCATGTGTTAAGCAAATGAGAAGGCTAAAAAAAAAAAGTTCAATGGCTTAAGCATCCAATGAGAGAGAAAGATTAAAAGACTAGAGCCTGTTTGGTAGTGATTATGAAAATTGATTTTCTGACCATTAGAGAGAAAAACGGGTTCCACCTGTGAATGAAAAAGTCAAAAATAAAGGCTAAAATGATGAAATAACGGTTAAAAAATTAATTTTTTGAAAGAAAAATTACTACCAAACAGTGGCTAAAATTACATATTCATTATTCATTGTTTTTTAATGAGCCAATAATACTATACTGTACATCTTTGAAACAAGTCAAGATTGTGGTAGGTTAGGTTCCAGGAAGAGAGGGGGTGTCGGAGGTTGGTTAAAAGATGGATGCGAGCATGTTCTTTACAGCTGGAACCACATAATGCTGAGACACATTTGGCTGACATTATCAAATGATTCTGGAGACGTATACTTTGCAATTGACTCCAGGTGAGGATCCTCTACATTAGAAAATGGCATTATCGATTACAAGATTCGATATGGAGGTTTGATAATCTTTGTAATACCAAAAGTCAGGTCTTTGTTGCTAAAATGTGTAATTTTCAAGTTTTAAATTTTTTCATACATAGATAGAATAAACAAATAGCTTTTTCAAATAGGATATTAATTGCTATATAATTACGACTTCCTTTACTTTCTTTCTTACTGTAGCATCGGTCATCCATCATAGATGGATATGCTGTTTGTAATTCGTAAAGATTTCGAACATCATATAAATAAATTAAACATAGCTTCGACCAATGGCAACTCAAAATTGAAATTAGATTCTTGATGACTGCATAAGATGGCAGCCACTATTGTCACTCATTGTTGAAAATTAAGCAAATTGCTTAATTAAGATATCTTAAATGATAAGAAACTAAAGAAAGTCATAATAATATAGCAAATATGTGAAATAATACTATTTTGCATCGATGATGCTACAACATCAGTGTAGATGGTTCCATAAAGAATAAAATTATAATTATGCATCTCATTTAATGTGAATAGCGCAAAATAGAATTACTCGTAAAAGATTCCAAACTGAAATGCTACTGACTTTAGCTGACATTTTAAAATATTAGAAGTTGCACTTTTTAGCAAGTTGTTCGACTAAAATTCGATTACTAATTAAAGTGGAATAAATAATTGAAAACTGTTCAATCCCACTAATCAAAACAAGAAAACAACTTTTAGAACATAGTTTTGAGTATTCCACCATCCACATAACATATTCCACCAAGGCATGGAGGAAAAGTTAAACAGTCCTTTTTGTCCTTTGTTTATATCATAATTAAATGGATTAATTTTTGAAACTTCCAGCCAGGGCAGGGCACTTTGAATGTACCAACTCATTCCAATTAATAGGAAATCGATAAGGAAAAACCATTTGTACTCGAAGTGTGTACACGCCCCTCACATGGAAAGGGGTCCCACATCCAATAAATGCTTCCGATCGACCTTCCATGTGAGGGGGCGTGTACACCCCGTGTATGTATAGGCAAACCCAATGGATAAAGCTACTTTAACAAAAAATTTGACAAAAAACTTAACATAATTATATGTGAAAGAATGTGATTGAATGAAAAAGTTGACTGTGATTGAAGCTATCCAATAATAAAATCTCACATGATATTATGTCAAACTTTACGCTCCTGTAACAAACACCCTTCTAAAGTCCTAAAGCACCTTATCCCTCTCCGGTTCCCTTTAAGTATAGGGAATAATGCTACGAGTCTAATGACCAAATTAATGTGGAAACAATGGATTTAAGCATCGCTAGGTGCTTATTTTCATAGTGTTCAAGTTACTATTATAATTTGGAATTTCATCTTAAAATATTCAATCTTATGAAAAGGAATATTCAAGCCATTATATGTGGATTTATACTTCGATAATTAACATGTCCACACAAGACGATAGCTCATTTAAATAGGCCTATCTTGAAATTCATGTGCTCACTTTGAGCCGTAAAATTCAACTTTATTAACAAAAGTAATACAAATCCTTTTACACTTTGATATATATTTCGATAATTACCGAATGTGAAATTTATCCCTTAATAGTAACCAAAATGTGTGCGTGCTAATTAATTAATGAACGTTCGCACACAGGACTTATTTACAAAATCATCTGTTTTTCAAAACATTCCATGGCAAGTAAACAAACAAGCTAAACTCAAATCATATCCTCAAATTCTATTCCTTTACACAAGAGCAAGAAACTAGACATCTCTATTGATGATTTAAGGCAAAAACTCAATGAAATGAACTTAAAACATTCAATCAACCCATACAAAATCACTTCGCCAGCTCTTTCATTATGAGATACCTGAAAGCGAAATTATGTGGAACCCATTCAATACTCTTGCGAGACTTCCCCAGCTGACGTTTCTTAATGTTTTTTCTTACGAACTCGGGCAATGAATGTTGGATCATCTCCAAAACGCCAGCTGGACACAAACCTGAATCCTTGGTGAATGACTCAACGATTTTTGGTAACAAGATTTTCTTGTCCTTCCGTACACCAAAAGTAGCTCGGATGTAGTCTTCTTTTGCTGCTTCTAGATCTTGGAATACCCTTTCGGGTGTGTAAATGCGAACCTGAGAACAAAAGATCGCATTTTTGTAAGATCATCGCAGTCCATGAAGAAATGAGATGGTTAAGCATTTAGCATTCTCCGTGAAACAAGTGAGAAGAATAACCCATCAAGACATGAGAAATTTTGTCAAAGGTTATGCTACTTGCCCAAATAAAAACAAGAGATCCATGTTCACTTGTGCTCAAATTCAGAAAATCCAAAATTTCTAGTTTTTGGCAAATTCATTTTGGTCGAAAGTTGATGACTTAACTCCATTTTATGAAAACTTAATAGGTATATTCTCTCAAAAAGTATTCTACTTTTGACTAATTAGGAACATTAGCAATATTTTTAACCAGGTCCAAAGTCCAGAAATATCTTTTCTTTAAATGGTGAGCACTGATAAAATCAAAACACAGAAAAGCAAGCAGCGAAAAACAAAGATTGACCAAGTGCACGTCACCGATAACTGTGCAAAATTAATTTCCCAGGATACAAAAGATCCCTTCAAAACAATAAAAAACAACACCTTGAAGCAAAAGCAAATTTCACAAATGGGATTCTCAAGCTTGAGTACAATTTAAAGAAAAAATGATCGCCATTATTATATATCAAGTAGCCTACAATTGAAGTTTTTCCACGCAAGCCCACGGCAAAGCCCGTTCCATTACCAAATTGCACTCAAAAAGAAAAGCTTATGCAGAAACTAAAGAGAAAAAAGGAAAGGGCTATGGATATCTACCGCAGGATCAGAGTGGCTCCCAGATGAAAGAGCAAAGTGCAGAAGTGGTTCTGGACGGTCAATTGCATATGCTTGCCGATCATCACCGGGCTTGAATTTCGTTCTTGAAGAAAGAAGGGACCAAAACCACTGCATACAGTGTTACTTTTATCAACATAACTATATAGACTAGCTAAAATCTGAGAGGTAAGCAGTTTAACGGTGGACATGTAAATCAGTAGATGCAGAATCTAGAAATTTAAAAATGAATCGTTATGTAAAGGCTTTGAAGAATTGCTGTGAAAGCATAATTGATTAATCAATACAACAAACAATTATAATAGCATTCTAAAAGACATGGGCTGCTTGATTTACCTGTCCGGGACGAGACATTCGGCATCTCAGAATAGAATTCTGTATAACATTTGCACTTATAATTTGACCTCCAACATTATAGGCAGCCTAGAATAGAAATAAGTTTTAGAACAGATTTTAGATCAAGCATTGTAGAGAAAAAATTAATCAGTTCTTACTTTCTTACCTTCAAGAGTAGTATCATTCGCTTTATATTGTTTTGAGGGATACCGTAAGCCAAAAATGCCTGTTTATATATATATAACAATAAAGTTAGCACATAGCTGAGACAGATTAACAACATCAATGTCTTGTAAATTTGTCGATTTGAATCCTTACATGCATCACCAAGGCATTGTGTACGTTGATCCAGAATGCTAATTTCTCCTCATACGACATCTTTTTAGGATCTATGACTTCCAAACGAGAAATAAGTGACCTACAAAATATGAACTCGACTACTATTATCCTGCTTGGGTTATATGAAATAAGTCAATATGTAACCTCATCATACAAGTATCCGCACCTAAAATTCTGTAGCAAAGGTTCAACATCACCCAATTTCTGACTATCTCTGTATATACATTGTACTTCTACCATTGTGCTGTAAGGTCCACTAAAATCTTTCAGTCCTTCCACGTGAAAAGGATTATCCAGCCGAACATCCAAAGAAGAATCATTTTTGTATCCAGGACTCCACAAGTCACGTTGATCTTTAGGAGAAAAAGCACTGATAGATGACAAAGATGAAGTGGGTGATGAAAGGCCTTGATTTGTCAATGACGGATCAGCAAGCTTGCAATATATAGTGGACATGCACTTGATCATCTCTTCAGAAAGCTTGTTCGGTGTCTCTGGAATGTGATCAGAAATACGTGTACCAAGATGCTCTGCCAGAGTAATTACATTTGAAGAGGTATTCTCTGCATACTGTAGGAAGACCATGTTATTGAAGTTTGATAAGTTACTAAAATTAAAAGTATGAAGGAAAAGGGATAAAGTTGAGATACCTCCATCATGGATAATGGCTGAGAATGACATGCACGCACAGCTTTACACAAGACCTCTGCAGGAGGAGAAGTTCTGTTTGACAGTGTTGTACGCTGAGATAGTGAAGAGTGAGAAAGTTGAACACCAGAATCCACGATCTTCTCCTCATATTGACCATTGTCTTCCTTCCATGAATTGGAATGATCATCAACTTCGGTTGCCAATTTTTCACTCGCTGACATCAAACCTGATCTCTCAAAATCTAGGCATCTTCCCCTTGGAGTTGCTAAGGGCGATTTCAATGCATCATTCTTCTTAGTTGGAGATAAGGAAGACATTTGTTGATCAAATGCTTTCCTGTACAGTGAAAGAAGATACTGTTCCAAATGTCCGACTTCTACTTCTAGCACTGCAATTTCCTTGATGAGTTCTGTGGCAGGCTGGAACCAATCAGAGAGTATTTTCAGTAAAACACAAATATATGGTTGTCATAAAAAAGTAAGCATACAACTCAGTTATATTAAAACCAGGCTAACCAGCTTCCTGTACCCATGCATCTCAAGGATTCGGGTGTAGCTATAGGGTAGAAAACATAGATTGCAAAGTTCATGAAAAGTTCACTGCTAGTTGTTCGATAAAAAAGAAAACAACATTTCATATGCTATTAAACGTCATTAGCACCAAAACTTAAACATTCATAACGAATACCTCCAAGACACAGAACATACTCACTCTTAAATTTTGATCATATAAAAGGCCAAAGATTGCTACCTTAGGCATTGCGATTTCATCTGTTATATCGTGGCAGGATACCCTGTAACCCAATGCTTTTTCCAGAGCACAGCGAACGGAAACTTGGCCTTGTAATCTTTTTTCAAGATCCAATATCTGCATGGAAAAAGAAATTTTTTTGGCGAGAATTAAAAATGAATAACCTATTAACCTTCTGGCAGGGAAATCAGAAACTCTTAAATTTCATTGACTCATGGATATACAGTTTGGACTATTTTCAGCTTAGGTTCAAATGAAATTCATAGGCGTATATGGCAGCAATATTATTACTTACCTCTTGCCTCAGAGAATTTTGAATCTCAGCATTAGATTCTTGTTCCTTCTTGCCATTGGCACAATTATCTAAGTGTCCCATATCCTGGTACAAAAGAGATCAGTATGGTCACAAAAATTTGGTATGCCAGTTTTATTTCTATTTTATACCTACACAACTTGTTTAAGGTAGCAATCAGTGATATAAGAACTGAAAAGAGATTGAGAAAAGGAAACTTCAGTGTGTTTCAATCAAAATTACACCATGCAAATAGTGTTTAATCAAGGGGAAAGCATCTATTTAAGGCTATAGACAAGTTATTTAACAATTGTTACTTTAATAATAAAAAAAAAAAAAAAGGGGGCAGATGGGACACAAGAAAGCATCTTTACCAATTTCTGTCGAAGAAGAGCGTCATCGGTAGAATGATCCAAACCATCTTCCTGAAATCCTCTGCCATTTGGGGAGCTGCCATTGCGAAAGCAAAACTCATTAAGAAATTTTTTAATTCAACATAAGATACTTGCCAACTCAATCTATCTTTTACCCACAGAACACTAGCATTTATCTTGGACGTAATTACCATAAAAACAGAAAACTAACAAAACAAAAAATTAATCAAACTGTGTTGACCTTCCCCTACAGTCCTACTCAGAAATATAAGTATTCCTTAAATCATCATGATTTCTTGCTAGAATCTGAAAGCTATATTCATCAATAAATCCAAATTAACATAGTAATGTAAAAATTGGAAAAACAAGCAAAGAAGAGACAAGCATGCAAACCAGAATGCCAGATTCATGATTTCCCACAGCTCACACACTCCTCTCTCTACTCATTTTTTCCACAGACCCTTTAAAGGTTTTCTAGGATGCCGGGTCCAAATCAGTAAAACCAAGATTTATGGCTCTCAGAAATCAAGAAAACTAAAGGGAAAAAAGTTCAAATGCAAATACCACTATTTTCTTCTATCTGCTTAGCTCTGAAACTCTCATCTCCATTTTCCCTTTTACCCAAATTCAGAAGCCTTTCCAGTTGAAGAAACCCATTAGCTGTAGGAACTAAAATTTACAGGAAAACAAGCCTACCTCTTGGAACGCTTGTGCCTAACCAGTTCGGGCAATTTCCTAGTGCTAAACCCTTCAAAATTCATCTCTGCAAAACAGAAATACATAATGCCATTAAAGCAAAAGCCACTTAGTGGTAGAGGAAATAAATGCACAAGTAACAGAAAACATTTATTACCATCACAGGCTCTGCGATCAATAAAATTTATCAAGATTGGCTTTTTAGGAGAAGAAATTCGAGAATACCAAAAGAATAGTGAAAAAAATTCAGCCCAGCGTCAATAACCTTCAGTTTTCCTCTTTCGATTTGGCACCATTTCAGTTTCTAAGTACGGACTCTAAAGTCTGAACACAGGCAGATGGATCATGTGCATACGCAAAAATGAGCATATAAAGGTGACTCTTTTGACCATAAGATTTATGCTTTGTGAAAGTAAAGCCCCCAAAAAATCTCTTTCTACGACAGTGGCGGTTTTTTGGTGTTAAAAGAAATGTAATTAGAGTTGAAAAACAAGAGAAAAAGTCTCCTACTGATGTCAAAGCATACAAATGCAGATGCCCTGGAAGAGAAGACAGAAATGGTAGCTTAATCAAACACGAGTAAAAATTAGTAATTAGAAGTCAGTCCATTCCCCCACATTCCTTTAACTTGTTGGGATGCAAGTGGGAGTTGGTAACGGTCCCTCCGCCCTTGTCCCATGCTGCCATATATATATATATATACACACACACACTGCCTTAACTTTCTAAGTTTGATCATAAAATATTTTCTACAAGGAAGAAATTTATAAGATTAGTTTATTAATCATAATAATTTTTTATAAAGTGACGCTTAATTTTTATAACGTAAAAGCAATAAAACTTAGCTTCTTGGATTATCGTTGCAACACAGATTGTTCAAAAAAGTTTATTAAGAAGGTGCTTTTAAGTGAGTAAAACGTGCTCGAAACTACTTATTTCAACCTTATAATGGAATGTTTTCATTTTTCAGCGTCGAAATAGTATTTTCTTAAGAGACTGAAATTTTATATTATATTATTCCTTTTCAATCAGAATTCATATTATGAAATAATCTCGTCCCATCATTTTTAGCATAGAATGTGTAGTCCCTATGGTTAAACAAGAAAGAAATCACAATTCTTTCAGTAATGTAATTTCAAGCATAGAATCTTAAAGGAATCAAATAGAAAAGGATTAAAACAAAATATATGAGCAATCAACATTTATTGAATTTTTGAATTTGAGCATGATGCATTGTTTTTTTCTTTCTCAATATTTGAACACTTGTGTCACTTACCAAAACAACAACAATAATAATATTTAGAGACAATCCATTCTAAAGGTGTTATGAGTTTCGAAGTCAACAGAAAATTACAAGGTAAAATGTTAATATAACTTAGAATGAGAAATTCGAGGCTAGTAATATTATTAAAAAAAGAATTAATTGTTGCCCTCGTATATTTTATTAAACATATTTAGGACTCCGGTGATCTAGATACCGATGAAGTATTAATAATTAAGTAAAATAATTTAAATAAAAAAATGATCTTTTAAAACAATTAGCGCTCATGACTTGAGATTGCTTATGGAGTAAAAGTCAGAAACCTTTTCTTCATGTTCTTAAGAAAATCAAGGTTAATTTTATCAAATTAATAACACGCGAAATCACTTTCTATAATACATATCTAATTAAAATTATTAAAATTTATAGTTTTAAACTTGTGAGTAGATGAAACAGTTCATGAAGGAGACGAGTTATAAAAAATAATACGCATGGCCAACCACAAAGGGAATAACTTCACTTTCTATATACGAGATGTGTTCGTGTAAGTGGAACAAAATATGTGCAGGAATCGAAATAAATTTATGTCGACATGTAGATTGAGAAGAGAAGTTTAACTGTTTAGGGTAAAAGAACTGTGTCACCTCAAAAGGGGGTTAAAGAAAACTTTGGATGCTTAAAGAGAAATGAAATTTTTTGTGGGGTTTGATTTGTCTGGTCGAAAAGTTGAAAAATTAAACAACTTTGTTGATATCTACATTGTCTTTGAGTATCAAAGAAATTATGGTTTGTCACAGAATCAGCAGATGAAAAATGGTACTGGACTTGACCATTTCCAAGATGGATACAAAAGAAAAAGATGAATTTAATGCCTCCCTTTTTGTCGTTACATTGACCCACTCATTAGAAAAGCTGCTTTTTTTTTCTTTTTTCTTTTTTTTTAATACAGTTACTGCAAATAACCACCCACTCAACCCCAAGAGGGGAGTTGTATGCTTAAATTTATTGCAATTTTTCTGTTTTTTTGAAAGTGAAGAAACCAATTTTCTCATTTCTTACGTTAAAAAATCATAACCATCAGAAAAAGGATTTTTCCTTTAGTTTTCGACTTTTCCAAAACTATTTAATGCACCTTACTGAAGATATCATGAGATTAAATGAATAAATGTTAAGATAGGCGGGATTTTGACTCGATTTTTTCCAAAATCAGTGAACATGTTGAGACTAAATGCCAAAACAAGATTGATAGAATATGATCAAAAAACAATATCTTCGTCAAGTGATATAATACAAGAAGAGGAAGGGCATAGGTAATTTTGAACTCACATGACAGTTTCATCACGAGATGGAAACAAGTAGCTCTGTCATATACAAATTACAAAGAAACTTCTATTTTATCTTATTATGAAATTATGAATAGAGTGTTTCCAATGTCAAACTTAAAAGATGCTTTAATCTTCTATTTAAATTAAATATATTTTTGAAGTAAGTAAAGAACCAATTCTCAAAGGAATCTGACAGACAAGCCTTGTAGTATCGTGAATAATAGAGCTGTATTAATTATATTCTTTAGTTTGTAGATTGCAAAAAATAACATCCTACAAAGTTTGCAGAAAAAACAACACAGGATTCCATGCTACTGAGATTTCTCTCCATATTTATATTTATTTGCCACTTCCAAAGCACAAGTAGGGGTGACGCAGTAGAGTTGGGTTGGTTTGGGACCCAATCGATAATCGAACTGACGTTTCTTTGAAATCCAAACTGACCCAAACCCACTTGAGTTGGGTTGGCTTTAGCGGTTTGGGTCGTCTAGATGCGTAAATTTTATTTTATTTTAAATTTTTTTTCGAGATGTCTAGAGTTTGCAAAATTGAATATATTTGCCACATTTGAAAGGAAGGGCAAAACGTTCGATTTTTTTATAAATAGTTTATTGGTTTATCCTATATACTTGACAATTATCGTAACAACTGACGATAAATGGTTGCTCGAAACAAAAATAAATATCATTGCATCATTGAGAGCATATAACCATGAACACAAGTACAAGACTAGGCAAATAGATTTTTCTGCTGCATTACCGAGGAGTTGAGAAACAATTTCTGCATTTAACAGTTTCGAGAAATCAAACACAAATTTTAATCTCTATGGTGCAAGAAGACAAATATGCTAAGAGACAGCTTAATTTGATTCTAAGATTATTGTACCACAGAAGGGCTCAAGTAGACAACAATTTCGATGTGTTTCTGCATCAGAAACAAGGTAATGTATATTCAACTTTGCAGTGGTTCCAAATAATTACAAAACTATAAGGTACAAACGTAACATGAAAATTCCCTGTGGTTAGATGCTGAGAACACCAATATTTTTGGGCAAAAAACAATTTGAAGTGTTCCTTTACAAATCAAAAGGTGAAGTGTGCAAATCATGAATTTGGAATCTTTCTTTTCCTCTTGTTGATCAGTGATTGCTTATAATGTACGTACATAAATTGAAGCCTCGACTTGCACAAAAAGATTTGAATAATGTTATTTGTACATAAACAGTTACATAATGATTTACATACAAATGAAGTGTCAAAAAAAGAAAGAGAAAGTTTTTTTTTTTTTTTTTTAATAATTGATTGAAAAAATTCTGACCCAATCATATCTCGCATATCACTTAAGACAATCGATAAGATTTTATAGAGGGAGAGAGGTGGGGGTTGGGCGTACGTAAAGGCTTGTAATCCCAAGAATTGGACAGGAAAAGTGAACTTTCCAAAGACATTGGGACAAATGAGTCAATGCCAAATGATATAAGGACGCAATAAGGCATCTCATCCTTCTAAATATCAGAGAGATGGAATCAGCATATAGTCCGTCCAACATGATCCAAATGTAAATAAAGCGTGCGTGCATATGTCAGGCAGATTAGACATAATAAAGTATTGAATGATGGACCAGTGCCGCCACCAACCGCCGCACTGCTAGACTCCAGCCACCACTAACGGCACCACCAGAAACTGTTGCAAGATTATTGCCATCATATTTATTTATTACAACATAGTCATACAGTGCATCAGCATTCATATTTTAATGGATTGATTATAATATTTTAAGTCGAAAACTGCCTCCTTGATTGATGCATGCATTTTTCTGATCCTCCCTTCACAGAACTAGCCTTTGTCAAAACAACAAAAGATGGAAAGTTTTTGGGGTGTTGGCCAAAAGCTGTCGCCCATGAAATCAGGGGAAAGTTTACTTTAGATGTATTCAAAGCACAGGCTAAAGAATTCAAATACTAATCCTGCAAAAGTTTTACTTATTCTTGATAAAGAACATCTACTCTTTTTCCAAAAGAAAGAAGAGAGCACTTGGTGAAACTATCATGACATCAAGCATTGCCAAAAACTTTTGATAAAAACTCTGATTTACATTTTTAACAAAGTTCATGTTGCTCATAAAAAAATAATTTTCTTCGACACAGGAAAAGGAAGATAAAGCAAAAGCACCATAATCTATCAAAAGTTCAGAGAGAGACCTCAGATTTCAACTAAAACTAAAAAGTTCTTCAAACAATTCATCCATTACCTGCTAAATAACTGATGCGGACATCATCCTTCATCGGACCATGTATTTGGGCTATTTTATTTTCCATTTATTTTTCGGCCTTATGCATTATTGAACTTGTATATGGGTTTGGCCCCGGCCCACGTTTATTATTTTGTTATTTATATGATCATAATTGGATTGAAAATCAGTCGACAAATGCAATGAATTAAGATTGGCGTTGCCCACGTTCTACCTCCCCTCTTCCCTCTTTCTCCTCCGGTGTCTTCCTCTTCTGCTCCTCTTCTTCTGCTTCTTCTCAGCTCTTCTTCCTATTGTTGCAGTCTGTTCTCTATCTATCCTACATCAATAACATTCTTTAAATGTTTAGGGCCTGTTAAATCTTCAAGGCGCTGACACTGACTCAGAAATTTACAGCATAATTCATCTGTTTTCTCCAGACTATACAAATGTGAAATGCCCCGTACAATTCTTCACAATGCAAAAGTATTACATGATTCCTTCTAAATTTGCACATTCTCTTCAAGAAATATTGTTCTCTAAACCATATTGATATTCCTGAACCTCACTATCTTTAATCAACAAATGTCTTACTGTTTCAAACGAGTCCTACTTCGTGTCAAAGGACCTATGCCAAGCATAGCACAATCAACAGTATTTCTCTTATTTTTCTTGGTTCTCGGTTCTGCATCTATCACATCAATGTCGCCTCTCCTTTTCTGCTTGGCCTCCATGTTCTTAAAATTCAATGGAGATTTGTCAGTGGCGTTACCACCATATGTTTGCAGTATATCGTCCAAAATATTTTGTTTCAGGAGAGAACAATCTCCTGGGGAGATCGTGAAAAGATCACGCATTACTGTAACTGGAAGATCATTTACGGCGACCGGTAGGAAGCTCTTCGAGCTATCATGCAAGGAAGTTTTATTTCCATCAGAGCCAGAAATCTCTTTTGAGAAATAAGAGCTGGTTGATTCTTCATCAAATGACAGGCCAGCGAATTCTTCCCAGTAATATGGAAACCCAATGACAAAATGATCGCAAACCTGGTCAGTTTAGAAGTTAAAGAATAAAAAATTGTTAATCCATCAGAAGAAGAATGTCACTAAGTAGGAATAGAGGAAGCAATTGAGGTAGCTATTGCATGGGGAAATGGAAGTTCAAACTCTTAGTAGTTAGTACATATATAAATTTTTGTGACGAGAGCTACGGTAAGTAGCTATGGAAACCTCTACCCAACCAGAAATACTAAACTTGGACGTTAAAATCCCCATGCTCAAGCTCTTACCGATCAGAGATATTACGCATGTTATGAACGTGTATAGTTCCTCCCAAGATCCAAATTTAGGTCTGAAAATGGGGTAATAGGATCAAGCCACCATAAGTGATTCCAATGACAATGCCAACTTACCACTCAATAGTAATTCAATTATGCTTACATTTTTTAAAATTTTTTTTTTTAGGTGCAAATGAGTGACATGCACGTACCTCATATTTGTCATATCAATTCACTAATACATAGGGTAGAGGAATAGAGAAGAAGATAGAGATGCCCAAACAAATCCATATCAGAGAAATGGATTGGAAGGGATGGGACAAGGGAGGAAAAAAAATTGGAAAGTCCATTTTCACAAAAGCAACTACCGAGAAAGGATTTAATGACAATTATGGGCAGACAGAGTGATTGCATTATGAGAAACTAGTAGAAAACACAAGGAACCCAAAAAAAAAAAAAAAAAAAAAAACGAAAAAAAAAAAAAAAAAAAAAAAAAAAATTCATGCACACATTGTGGAATATAGATACCGATGAACACAGATAACACAGATACTTATTTAAAATTATAAAAGCAAATCAACATAGGAACACATTCTCCACTGTTTTATCCTAAACTAATTTTATAATTTACTATAAAAAGTACAGAATTTTTACCTACACTATAGTTCCAGCAGTCTTATTCTTGGATTAACAAAAATTGCAAAATAAAAGATGCAAAAGCTGTTTTAATTAGTGAAAATAATGGCTTCTATGAATACTTAAATATGAATAAAAAACGCCCAATCTAAATGTATTCTTAATTTCACATACTGTATCTCTATCAGAAATAGTGCTCAACTTTCCAATTCACTCTCCCAACCAATACGCCACAACTTCATTATTGTCGATTTTTACCATAAAACGGAGAAATATAAAAGGCAAAGTAAAAATCTTACTCCCCACAAGTGAAACCGCCAATCCCTAATCGTTTTTCTTGTGGATCCTTATCGACTTTAATCAGCCACCAATCGTGCAAAAAAACCTGCAAGAGGGAAAAAGAAACACAAAAAGAAGTGTTAGACTGGAGTGATCGTGTCTACATGTGATAACACTGACCATGAACGATAATCCTGGGGAAAGGAAATACAAACTTCTTTCAAAAAGAAAGAAAGGACGGCTGTGCTGTTGGAAGAGGGAAGACTTTTTCGAGAGTAACTGCGGCGGAGGAGAGCGCTGGTTGGCGTCGCCATGAGTGGCTCTGGGCGTGATTTCTTCTGATTTGGGGTTTCGAATGGAGGGTAGGGTTCTTGGCGGAGGGAAAATTTAGCCCTTGTTTGGTTGGGTAAAATGTCAAAAACATATTTTGAATAGTTTATTTTAGAGAGTGTGTGAAAAAAAAAAAAATTGAAGTAAAATATTTTATTATATGAATGTGTAACTAAAAATGAGTATGTAAAATAAATTAAAGTAAAGAGTATCAAACAAGGACTTAATCAATACTTGCCCAACTTTAATTTAAATTACAACTTGCTCATCGAAAAATAAAATATAATCCGTTGTGCACCCATCTATCCAATTATTTAGCCATTCGTCTTTCGTCACCCTAAATGAACATAATGTGCCACATAATGGACGGAAATCCCATATGGCGCATCACATAGTGAAATCAAGCAAAATAGGCCAAAAGTGTAGAAAGCCACTCAACACTTTCTCGGAACTTCATCTTACCCTTCCATTTCTTGACCCTGAATAAATGTTCGACATTAATTAGTGCTACACAGCCTAGTTCATGACGTGCATGCCCGTTTATCAGTGTAGCGATTTGGGAATGAATTTAGGTGGCGATTTTTAGGATTCTTCTGGGATTTGGGGGCGATTTTGATCTTATGGGGACCTTTTTTTTGAAACACTTCCTGCCATTGGGATTTGAAGATAGATATGCAGATGTGGAGTTAGGCGAAATGAAAATTTGGGTTGTTCTTGAGATTTGTTGACGACGGGCAATTGAAGATGGCAATGATGGTACGGTTGGTAGTTAAGAGCATATGCAGTCAATCTTTCGACTCACAACAATTTAAATTTTGGCTCATGTGCAATTGGGTTTTCAAAGGCAAAGGCAGGATTTTTGACTAGGTTTTTGTCCAATTTATGTGCCACGTGGGATTTTCATTCGCTATATGGCACATTCCAGCAGTTTAGGGTAACAAATACGATAGGGGTGAACGGGGTAAGCATTTGGATTGATAGGTGGGCAATTGGTTATTTTTGTTGTTTGAGGAATAAGTACTAGGTAGTAATGAGAACTAAAGTTGGGTAAGTATTAATTAAATTTACTCTCTTCACAACAAAGTTTTAAAAATCAATCCAATCATCGACCTGAAAAAGAGAAAGGATAAAGGCTCAAAAAGTTGAACCAAGATCGAATTGATGATTTTTAATAGGGCTGGACAAAACTCCCGAATCGAACCCAGCAATTTTTCTGAAATTAAATATCAAAATGGGTATCTGAATTGAGAACCGATGAATTTCGTTCATCTCCCGGTTCTAGATCAAGAACCAAATAAAAATTGAATCTCCCTAATTTTTTAATTAATTTATTTTAAATAAACCAAATTATTTTATTTTTTTTAAATGAATTTGCTAACTAGTTAATTTAACTCAAAACCAAAAATATGATTTTCCTATTTCTAATTTTCAATTCATAGTCAATTTAATCAAATTAACCTAAAATTTATCTAAATCTATTAATCTATCGTGGTGTCGTTCTACCGTTCTGGAAAAATCTAATTGAAGCTCAACAACGCCACTCGTAATTATTGTGAGCTCGCCTTCCTTCTCTTCCTATGATTTTAACAATCAAATCTATTTAAAAAACTCAACAAAGAGGTGGCAAAAGACGCATAAGATTGGATTAAATTATTTTGTAAGAGCTAAGATTGAATACATCATTAGTTAAATTAATGTAGCCTTGTAACTATTAAAAAATTAATTATAATACGGAATGTGAAAACCAAATGGAACCTAAGAACCGAATCGAAGCAGATAGAACCGAACCCGAACAATTCTATAATTAAATCTTGATCCGACGGTACCACTTACTAAATACCAAGAAAATTCGTGTCCGATTCAATTCTCGTTAGAATCGAACTGAATCGGACCATATCCAGCCCTAATTTTTCAAAAAACTAAAAAATATACATTTACAAAATTTTAAAAAGTATACATAAAATATAGGGAAAATTGCAGCAGCAGTCCTTAACCTTTTCAATTTTTGTAAATTTTATTCTAAAATTCAATTTTTGTCAGCAATAGTCTCTAACCTTTCATAAATATGAACTTAGAGTCCAACTGGATTGAAACCATTCATTTGACCGTTAGTTGACCAAGGAAAGTGAACTTGGACCAACTTTGACCCAATTAAAAGGAGTAAAATGATAACTTTGCTTATTTTCAAATAATGACAATTAAAATAATAAAATTAAAAAAAATGAAATAAAATAAATCTGTCTCCATCCACCCCACCCCACCTTTATCTTCTTCATTTCTCCACCACCGCCTGTGACAATCATCTTCTCCTTCACTTGCACTTCAACCCTCTACAATCTTCAAAATTACCTTTTAAATCTTTAAAACTCTTCCCAAATTAATCACTGTAAAGACATGTTTACACTCCTTTAAAATGAAAGTGTTGACACACTAAAAGTGCAGTCTAAATCGAATGGCTCAAGGAATGAAGCCCAATTGAGGAATTCCCAAATCAAATAGCCCAAAGAATGAAACACAATTGGGCAATTCAGAATAAAGGCCCAGACAGGGTTATTAATGAATGCAGTGGAAGCCCACGGACACAGTAACATCATTGCCCAAACTTGCAAGATGCCCAAAATCTGAGCGAATGGAGTGCCTTACAGTCGCCCAGAGCGATGACCCTGTTCTCGCCCATACCTTCGAATC